GTCCCGGTGGCGTTGTTTCGCCGTAGACCAGCATGCACCTGGTAGCATTGCTAGCTAGAGCTGGACTGTCATGCAGTGTGAGCCGTGCCACTCTGCTGCTGACCAGCCATGAGGATGTCGATGCTGGGCGTTTGTCTGCATAAATGACCAATAAGCATGGGCTGCGAGAGCCCGTCTCAGTCCTTTTGCTTCACCTGGAGCTGCCACTTATCCGCATCGTCATGCACATGAGCAGCATCCCCGCCCATACACATTCGCTTGTGCCACCTCCTCCTCCTTAAGCAGCAAGATTTCCGCTCCTCTGTGGCCCCTATCGGGATCGAACCGATGACCTTGGCGTGCCCATGGCTATTAGCACCACGCTCTAACCAGCTGAGCTAAGGGGCCCCATTTTCCTGCAGCTGTACGACAGTCGTCCCTGATGCAATAACAGCCACAACCGCTACAACTGCCACAACGGCGACAACGGCGACAACGGCGACAACGGCGACAACGGCGACAACTGCCACAACTGCCACAACGGCGACAATTGTTGACTTAGATACGACGGAGCGAAGCGATCGGAGTCTCTAAGTCTGGTTCTGTGCGACTGTCGTACAACCGTATTGGAATGGCGAGTACTAATTGCTTCAGCTCTTTCGTTTCAGGCATTCTGCCTTTCACTCAGTAGAGCTTCAGCTTGTAGCTGACAGCTTTCTCTTTTTGCTGTTCAATCTCGGATAGAGCATCGTGCTCGCCATTGAAGCCCCACCTAGTCATCACCATCTGTTTCAAGTTCCTGTAGTCTTTCGTTTTCTAATGTCAGCGTTGAACAACGAGCAAGTGCAGCAAAGGCAAGGTACGGCCGCCCAAGATGGCGCCAATTTAGTGATCAACGCCACCACCGGCTTTGCGGGTCCCCCCACCAGCGAGGCTGGTGGCATCACTTTCCCACCACTCCCCAACCGAACTTCTCCACCGGCCGGCAGCCCCGCCACTGGAGCGGCGGTGGTTACCACCGCCATCCAGCAGAACATAACTCCATTGCAGCAACAGATGGCAGAGCAGAGCCAGCTTTTGGCCTCCATGGCCAAGGTAATAACAGCGGGTCAAAATCCGGCAGCCACTGTGCTGTCGCCAGCCCAGGCCGCGGCGGCATCGGTCGCACCCGACAAGGCTAAAAGGAGCAAAGAGAAAAGGAAGAAGAAGGAAGAAAGCTCCAGCTCGAGTTCATCATCAAGCAGCGACGACGAAGCTCCAGAGAGATTGCGGCGCCTGGTGGACCGAATCGAGGCCCAACAGCCCACTGACCCGTCGGGCTTCCGCAAGCAAATTTTCCATGGTTTTGCCACGCAGGGCAAACTGGCTTTAGCATTGCTGGCAGAGGATCCGCCGAATGTCAAGGGCGCCACTAAGGTTCTCAAGCCTTTGATTCGCCGTGCGGAGGTCGGCATGGCGGTCACTAACACCTTGGCGGCCGAGCCGCGCATTGGCCTCGCTGCCGCCGACATCTGCTTCAGCATTTTGTGTAATGAGGACAAGTTCCGGGACAAGACAAAACCCCGGAAATTGGTAGACGGCGTCGAGGACCAAGCGCTAAAGCGCGCTGCCAGCCGCTCAGGTGGGGGAGCAGGCGGTCACGGCACTGGCGG